TGCATCCCCCAGATCAGGAAGCGAATGCAAAAAAAGGGGGGGTCCGGGAGGGGAGGGGGGCGCTTTGGAGGTGCAGTGGACCCCCTCCCCTCTTTGCAATTCGCAAGACGGGGCGGGAGGCAAAGCGGGGAGCGTGCAAAGACATGGGATGGAAGGGGTCGATTTGCAATTAAAAAAGCCGGGGGAGGGGGCGACGGTGGGTTTGCATCTGCAACCTTGCGCACGCATCTCCGAGGCTTAAGCTGCGGGGGGGGGGTGGGTGGGCTTTGCACAGCTCCGCAGGGGAGAGGGAAGGGGAAGAAGAAGAAGAAAGGGGGAAAAAAACGGCTTCGCCCTAGAGAGCCGGGAAGAGGTGCGAGGTGCTTGCGGAACTCCCGGCCACTAGATTTAAAAGGATGGCAGGGGACTGAGCGGATGGGCAAAGGAGGCAAAAGGAGAGAATCGGGGTGCCGGGGGGGTGGGGCAAAACCTCTGGATAGCCAAGGGGGGGGGGGGTGTTTTTTTTTTGCAATTGGTTTGCTGAAGCTAGCCAGGTTCGAATCCGGGGAGCATCTTTTGCAAACCCGGGTCTGGCCAAACGTGGGGACCCAACCAGATCCATCTCTCTGAATGGCAGCCCCAGACTGTTTTGGGTTGCCTACAGTTAGAGGAGTGGCAAGGGAGGGTTTCTGCCTGTTGCTCGTGTCTTTTGTGAGTCAGGATTGTGAAGCTTTGAGCTGGACACATTTCCTGGTGTGAAACTCACCACCTTCTGTTGTCGTCCTAGCTTTGGCTCACCAGGAAGTTGGGTTCACACCAATTTAGGGCTGGCATTTGTCAGAAATGGTGTAGAGTCTCCCGCTTGGGGGGGGTTGGACTAGATGACCTATAAGGTCCCTTCCAACTCTTGATTGTTATCTGACTGGATAGAGGGAGATCCGGTGTGTGATGGGAAGGAAGTCTACCCTTGTGGTGTGAGTTTGCCCAGCTGTTGTGCCAGGAAATGCTTGTGGTGTTGGGACATTATCTTGGCCAGGGGGGTCTTCAGACCTGACAGCTTTAAGGCTTGTGGGCTTCAACTCCCAGAATTCCTCCTCCTCCAGTCATGTTAGCTCGGGAATTCTGGGAGTTGAAGTCCACAAGCCTTAAAGTTGCCAAGTTTGAAGGGTGGACATTTCTCGTGTGGCGTTAAGCCGGGTTTAGGGTGTTTAAACACTGGCAGCGTTTCCCAGGTGGGTTTTTTAAAGCATCCTTTCTCCATCCCAGCCACTGTTAAGAGGGGTGGACTACAACTCCCAGAATTCCCCAGCCAGCAATGCTAGAGGAACACTAGACTAGTGTGGAAAAAAAAAATGTCCTGCCCCAAACTTGGGAAGATGTAACAGGTCTGTGTCAAAAGCGACACGTCAGACAAGGTAACAATCGGACTCCGAAGGTTATTATAATGGGGGAATCCATGTTGCTGGGCCGTCCAGTTTGGTTAGATGAGTGGCGTAATAAATATCTCTAAATTAATTTATCATACCCATACATAAATATATAAATATTATAAATAAATGCCTTTCTCCTTCCTTGACTATTTTTCTCTTTTCCTTCACTTCCTCTCCTTTCTTCCTTCCCCCTCCTTTTCCTTCCTCCTTTTCTCCTTCCTTTCCCTTTCTCCAATCTTCCTCCCTTCCTTCACTTCTTCTCTCCCCTTCTAATCTACCTTCCTTCCTTCTTTCCTTTCTTCCCTATTTCTCTCTCCTTTTCCTTCTTCCCTTCCTTTCCCTCCTCCAATTCCCTCTCCCTCCCTC